GGACTCATTAAGAGAAATTTTCATCACAGATAAATTTTTGATAATTCAAAAAGAAAGTATGATTCTCTAACATTATATTATTTGATTAACATAACAACCTACTTGCAAAAAAGGAAATTTATTCAACAAAAAAATGACCAACAACAAGATTATGATACAAACACCCTTGGTCAAACAAAGAGGAAGATCTACCAAAATTTCCATCCTATCCCCTCTCCATCCACTCAAGTCATAAACGAGGACATCACTGGCGGGAGAGTTCATTGACTGATAGATTCACGAATTCAAAAAAGTAAAATTTCCACACTCGTTCTTCTCTTTTGTGCTTATTTTGTTGTCATTGATACTTTCCGTTGAACTTTGTTTTTTTTTTTAGAAACAAAAGAGAGAAAGCATGTGCTGTTGAAAGTAGCAGATTGATTGGCATGGCCGATCACTGAACTACATGAAACAATTCGCTCTGTGTGCATGCTCAATTTCAGCAAGTGGTCACCTGGTAATCGATGTTGGAGGCGAAGAATACAGCCGAAAATTGCCGATAATAACGGAATTGAACACAAGAAAACATCATCAAACAGGGTGCCAAATGACTGTACCTAAGATGTGATACGATATGGTTGCAGCTTCGGCGTTGGGGAGCATTGAAGATGAACCCCTGCAGAGAGATGACATGGCCTATTCGGAATCAAATTGATGCTGCAACTACTCTTCCACGCTTTTTCGGAGGGGCACAGCATCATTTGTCGGGAGTGACGATTTAGACCTATCAGATTCCACAAAATCCGCGGCATCCCCTTGAGCCACACACGATCCTATCTCGCCTAGACGCATCACCATCAATTATACCGACCAATAATCTCTGTTCAATCCAGTAATAATATGCAATTGCAACAGTGCTGACCACTTGTCACCCTATCACAATGTACACTGTAGCAGCTCAAGATTTTTGGGGTTGTCTCTCTTTGAGTTTGCCCTCATTGATGCCAATTTACAACCATGCAAGTTCATACACTATTCTGCTACAGCATGTGAGAAAAAGTCGATCATGAATAGCATGACGCCTGTGCACCGTGTTTTGAGTGTAGAATTTCCCTTTCACAAATGAAGGTAAGAAAAAGTAAAAACATCACCATCAGTCCAATCTAAGCCCCTCCAATTCGCAATCTATATCAAAGTTACCCATTTTCTAAGAAACCTCGGGAAATACCAAAATCCTAAACTCAGAGGCCTCCAGCAATCAACAGAAATTACTCACGCTGCAAAATGCCTACCAATATCTCAACACCGCTGCCCAGCGGCTAAGATCCTACGTTGTAAAGCTTCCCGCACTTCGCACGCCGACAGAGTAAGGAGTATTCATGAATCAATGGATAATGCACGGAAGATTTCCAGGTCTAGGTTCCTAAAATCACAGGACCCACAACCCGATCCAACTCGTCGAGCGAAACTCGCACTGAGTTCCTTTCCCCACGCGACCTGTCTTCATGCTCCCAACAACTAGAACCAAACCCAAATTCCCACCAATGTCTGTTGACACAGCCTCCGAAAATGGAATAATATGATCCTTGCAACACATGGACTCGAACCACCGGCCGAAAACCCAATTAGGAGAAAGAACAGTCGCGGGCAATCCTACAAGTTTGTCCCAGATAGAACAGTGAGCGCCGAATCGAGAGCTCGGACACCCATTAGATTCCTAGAAACTGGACGACGAATTCGTCGTCAGCTCTCAACGGACCAATTTCTACGCGGCGCTGGCCCCGAGAGCAACCCCCAATCTACCATGTTTGTCGAAGTAGTTCACACATGGAATTTAAATCAAGGCGCCGAAACTGGTCTTGGTTGTTGCTCCACTGACCGGGACATCCGTCCAAGTTTTGTCTACTGTTCGTTCGTTCGTTCGTTCCTTCCACTTGCGTTGGATTGACTTCATTGGCCACACCCGTGGTCATGCGTACGCAATGATGGGAACGCGTGCATGTACACGGTGGGGGAAGGGAACAGGGAGTTTGCATTGGACCGTTCTCACTAACCAAGTCACTGATCCTTCTTCTTATGAGTGACGAATTTGAAAATGCATAAAAATTGTTCACGCATTTGTTTGTGGTGTTGCTAATGTCACCACAACCCACCACCTATCCAAAATATATATATATATATATATATATATATATCTACTTATATAAAAAAATTGAGCAGCCTACATTTGTATGTAGGCTGAAAAAATCCCATTGATTGGAATAGTAGGGGGCACTTATTGCTGAGGTATATTGTGTGTTCAACCATATAAATGTCATTGAGTTTTTTTCAAATTATATTTTTAAATTATTTAATATTATTACAAATAAATAATAATGTGATTGTGGTGGCAATAGAAATAAACATGATGATACATGGTGGACGGCAAATTGTGTTGGCAATAGCAAAAAAATGTTGTGATATTAACAATATCCTTTTTTTTATTGAAGAAATAACATTTTATGAAACCTGCGAGATATACTTTAATATCTTGCAGGTATAACAATGGGTTTTGACATGCTTGTTCAAATGTTTAATTTTTTCCAATCCACAAACAGATGACCAAAATAAATAATACAATCAACAAAGTGTTTGAGCAATGCTTCTAATTTATTTCCAATTACCAACAACTGTCAGTTCCACAACTTGACATTTCAATGTAAATATAAATACATCATGAATTGTCAGAAAATGGAATGAATGATCAATTTAGGTTGTAACATTTACAACAGATAAATCAACTAAGGTGTAAAACTAATATTGCAGTCATAAAATAAACATGTTATACAAGAGGAGCTAGTAAGACTTATGATGAATTTAGTCTTGTTTCTGTTCAAATTACTTACAATGCTTTAGACAAAACAATATATATTTTAGTTTCCACAAAAAGACTTGAGAGGAATTTGAAATGATATGAAGATTTCTCAATAGATTCAGATGTATATAGCATATACATCTATCAATAGATTTTTTTAAAATTTTGGAAATAAAGTCTGCAATATAAAAATAGGTGCAATACTTTTTAATAATGTCAAAATTAGTGTACAGGGTTTCAAAGATATAATACATAACATCTACATTCAACAATTGTAGATGTGATTTGTCCATGCTGATACTTTCATGAGTATTATTATATATATTTTTTTCGAGGATGTTTTTTTTTATCTTGAATAAATGATAAAATATATATATATATATATATATAATCACTATTTACACTAAAATAATTGAATATCTTATTTTTTAAATGTATACTTTTTCTCATTTCAGGTATATCATCTCAAGCTTTTGTTTTGAGAAAATTGCATTTCAATACAACTAGCCTTAAATGAAAATATATAAATATATATATAAGGAACATCATATATATTTTGTGTGTTATTACATTATGGCTGATCAAAATAATGTTGTATTATTTCATACTGAAATAGTTGCAAAGATATTAACTTGGTTTTAACTTTTACAAATATCAATTAAATAATATTTTTGGCAGAATTGTAACTTTTGCTAGTGTTTCAGTTAAGCTCAATATAAATGAATACCATTGCAAAAAGTTTATATATGGAATTCATCTAATATAGGTATTTATAGTTTTTTCTTTTCTTTTTTTGTCTTTTCTTTTAGTCTACTTAGAAAACCAAAAAAGGATGAATGTTTGATGATATTTAAGGCGTCCAAACTATGATATTTTATAAGTGTCAATTTTAGGAATAACTTTAAACAAATAATATATTTAGAATGCTTAAAAATTAGTTCAAAATAAAAGAACTCAAAATCTGAAATATTTGCGTGTATAATATGTCATTCTTAAGCATATATAAAGTAAATCATCTTTTAAAAAAATTGTAATAATAGTAGTAATAAAATGATGGGATTATTGATCTAGTAAAGATCAATAAAAAAATGTACCCATTTTAAGACATTTTGGAATGATGTGGGATTGAATTGTATAATTGTTGATAGCTACGCAAAATGTGATTTTTTATTCATAAAACAGTTCAAGATTCTATAAGACGTGCATCTAAATAACTAAAATTCTCTCTCTCTCTCTCTCTCTCTCTATATATATATATATATATATATATATATCTCTATTATATACTGCTTCTAAATATTACAATTACAACTAAAAGGTTGGGATCCGAAAACATTTAAAGCACCTTTTACCTTTGAAGATAAAGAGATCATTTGCTTGTTTTCAATACTTATATTCTATTTTAAAAATAAAAGCATATTTTGAAAAATTTTGAAAAATAAAAAACAGGCACAATAATTACATCAACAATAAAAAGTATATTGACGTCTATACCACACTTGACTAGTGCATTCAGTGTCCATAGTTTGAAACTGAAAAATAAATAAGTATTATTGTCACTATTACTGAACACTCGAATAACTACACATCATCAGAGCTACTTGATTATCAAAGATGCATTCATGGCAACATGTTTTGCAAATTGATTTTAACTCTTGTGAGTATTAAACTTAGCATACAATTTACAAGACTTTACATGTTGGTCTTAGATAACTTTATTGTTTTTATATTTTAAAAAACCTTTCCTCCCGTGAACATTTTCTTCCAATCCTTAAAAAGAGAAAAGATTACAAACCCATCTAACATTGAAATTTATTTATTTATTTATTTATTTTAGGAAAATCAAGGATTTATCTGGATTTATGAAAGCAATTAGAAAAGGAACTAAATTACCGCAGTGAATCCGTTTACCCTCGTGGTACCGCTCACGGAATTACCGACCCAGGTAAAAAGAAAACGGAATATTCATCCACCAGAGATGAACGAAAAACAAGGTGCACGAAGGATGAATGAAACGTGTTTTTATCTTGTGAAGCGTCGCTGCTTTTCTTTTATGACGCGGAGGTGGGTCGAGAAGCTTGTGACTCCTGCAGCGCGGTGGGATTTCGGGCGGGGGCAAGTTTCTCGGCAATTGATTTGTGGGTAAGTAAGATGGTCGGTTCGCAGATTTAGCGGTATGATTCCCTGGTTCAGTTTTCAACGTCACTCTGCGGCATTGCCCCCTGCTCTGCGGGGTCTCTTCCATTAGCTTCTCTCTGAATCCCAGAATCTCTCAGCCGCGTTGTCAGACCACGAGTTAGCCTGCCCATGCCCCCCATAAGCTCCATGCACCCCCCCTCATTCGACTCCGTGTGCGTCGTGAATCTGACGACTTTTACATTCATGGGCAAGTGGTGCCACCATTGTCGCCAAACGGGTTAATCCTAGATTGTCAAGGGCTGCCTACTGCGGACGTGTGTAGCCAGGACAGCGTGTTTGAGAGGGGGATTGTGAAGGGACGTTCGGGAGTCCTGAGCTGTGTTTCATTAGATTGCTCAATTGGCTGGCTTCAAAGAATGTAGCAAGGTTAGCCGAGCGTGTACAGTGGGTTCATGTTGTTGGTAGGCGCTTGTTCCGTGACTGGTTTGTAGATCGTGAATGTTGAATCCTCTGAGAGTCGGTAGCGAATTGTTGGGTGAGTGATCGACGACGACGACCTCATCGATTCTATCTGTTCAACATGGCGACTTGTTGGCGATAGTCGTTGTAGCCACTAGTCTTAGGCGAGGGTGTGATATAAGCGAATACATTTGTTGGATTGGGCTTCTGCCATGGGCTGTTCATCATCTTCTCCTGGTACTTATTCCCTCTCTGCCCTTTAGAGTAACATAGTGGTTTTGGAGTGTGTACGGTTGTTGGCTAAGTTGGGAAGGTTTGTCTGTCTTTTGAGGTATCTGGAGTCCTAGTTACCGAATCTGGCACCTGCTCTGGTTGCTACGAATGCTATACATTTTGCAACAGTACGCGCTCGGAGGTCTTACCGAGGTAGTGAAATTTGTGAGCGGATATTCCAGTTCATGTGGACCGTGTGCTATACGAACAGCATTGAGTCCCAGTTGATGTTTCGTGATAAAACCTTCAGTTTGTTTAATGGGGTGTCTGTTTGTGTTACAGCTGCTGTGAAAGGCTCTGGACGTTTACAAACCACCTCCCAGCCCGATGTGTTGGATTCTAAAAATCTGCGCATTAAGGTACACCCACTTTCAGCAGTAGTCATCATGTTTGATTCTAAAATCTTTTTGTGGTTTGGAAGGTCGTCCTTATTGCGATACCCATGATGAGCAAACGTCTAATGCTATGGTTACCTTTGTCGACATTGCAGCTGGTTCTATTGGGTGACTCAGGAGTCGGCAAAAGTTGCATCCTCTTACGATTTGTTCGCGGTCAATTCGACCCATCGTCCAAGGTTTGATTTGGTTAAGACTAGGTTACTTATTTAGCGTAGTTATTATCTATTTAACTTTTCATCTCGCAATCTATTAGGACGGTGGATTAGAAACAATGGCGTGTCAGATCGCCTGTTTGCACCACCTTCCTACTCAACCTTGTTTGTGCCGTGTTCAGGTGACGGTTGGTGCGTCTTTTCTCTCTCAGACAATTAATTTGCAAGACTCAACCATCAAGTTCGAAATATGGGACACGGCTGGACAAGAACGGTACGTCCTATTTGCTGATATACACCTGAATGTAGCATGTTTTGCTGCATTAATGTCTCGTGGGTTGTGCTCACCTACCATGTAGGTGTTCTGGGGTAATTGCGGGATGGCTTCTTTTTCGTAGCTGTTGCTGGTTCTTCTCGACTCTGAAGTCGTTCGTTGAACTTTGCAACAGGTATTCCTCATTAGCGCCTCTATATTACAGGGGAGCATCAGCGGCGGTTGTAGTTTACGATATTACCAATCCGGAAACATTCCTGAAAGCGCAGTTCTGGGTCAAGGTCCGATTCACGAGAAACCCATCTTTCCAGTTCTTGCCGTTGATTGTTTACCATCGTTGTAGTGGAATATGGTCTGACTTGTGTGAGAACTATCCTCCAATTATTTATGTAGACTTTTGCATGTTTGTAGTGAAGAAGGGTTTCAATAGTCACCGCGTTTTTATTGGATTATGACAACGAATGTTTGATGTTCTTCGCCTTGGTCCCTGGCGAATAGACCACTGATTTTCCTTTTATCCTTGGCAATAGGAGCTCCAAAAGCATGGTAACCCTGACATCGTAATGGCGTTGGTTGGAAACAAAGCTGACCTCGAAAGTGAACGTGAAGTATCTCGCGAAGTAAGCGTTCATTCGTGCCGAACATTCGCGACTGCTTCAGAGTGTTGGGTTTTCTTTGCCTGTTGCTTGTTTGGCAGTGTATACACTGTGTTCCCAGCTAGTTAGTTTCCAGTTTTGTGATTCAAGAGGATATTTCTGATTTGCAATTTTTTCCATTTCTCGTCGACGTTGCAGGAAGCCCTTGCCTATGCTGAAAGTAACGGCATGTTCTTCATCGAAACGTCAGCAAAGACTGCTGATAATGTGAATCAATTATTTGAGGTGAGATTCACACATCACTTGGGTTTAATTGTCAGTGTTGCAGTCCTTCATTTGGCATGCATTGAAGTGTATTATGGTTGAGTGGGATTTAGATTCACCTTGAACGATTCCAATTTGCAGTTCAAGTTCCTTCCTAATACACGCTATCCTGTATAGCTGTGAAGCAGTCAGTTAAGCATCTTGACAAGCTGTTCATTTAGACATCGCTCTGTCAATACCAGCTTCGTTTCAAACCTTGGCTACACAAACACTCTAGTAAGTTAATAGTAAACTTGAATACGACTCATCTGTGAGCCATTCTGACACTACTGCCTGGCAGCAATGCACTGAGGGCGATATTGCCAGGAAGCCCAAGCATCCAAGTCTGTACAGCCGGTCGAGAAATTCTCTGTCCAAGGTTCATCAGTTTCGCAGAATCCATCCCTCAATTCGGGCCTGAAATAGTTGTGTTATCTTATTTTGACAGGAGATTGCCAAGAGGTTACCTCGGGGACAATCAAGCTTGTCAAGGAATTGAACATTCTCTAGAGCATTTTTCTATCACCCCAGAATGCCAGAGTTTGATTACTGTAGGCACAATTTGTCAGTAGTGAACAGTGCTTTTATAAGCTGTTTTTGTTTGTATATACATGAAATAATCTTCCCCTCTTGGTTCCCTCTGCATCAAGCCGCAGAGACCATAAGCAGGGTTTTACGATCTTCTGCATCTTTGTCCATAAGTCCCTCTATTCCTTGTTTTGTTATGTGATCACACGATGCTTGTCTGGCCATCATCATTCATCAATCTGCAAATTGAATCAACAGCCTATTCATTGAAAGCAATTCTTAAGTACGAACTGGTTTTAAGTGTTTGAAACCAATTTGCAAGGTAGTAGACTTCGGTGACTTATCTATGACAATAGAATCATATAGTTGCACATGTAAACATGTTTCTTTACTTTCTCTTCCTGCGAACTCATGACCTTCACAGCAAACTCTGGTTTTCCTTCTGAAGGTGCCAACAGGTCAGAGATAGTGCGGACGCTAAGAAAATTAATTTTATTTGCACTGTTCCAGAGTCAGTGCTGTCTTTACACTTCAATTGGATTTAATGTTTTTATGACGAGTTTCTGAAATATCTGGCGATTAGTAGAAGTGGCGGGTTTTGTTCTCGATAATCCAAACGGTCAGTTTTTCTAGTTTCTTATGGATTTTTAGGTGGGACACTATCGTTGAGAGATAGAAAATGCAAAAACAACCCACAAGCAACCTCACAGCATGTGGGAGCTTTGGTGGTAAGGACTTACTGTAGACCACATTACCTTTTGATTTTTTAAAGTGATTATTGTTGCAGTGTGAACTGTTTATTGATGGAATATAGGCGTTTTATATGAACATAAAGTTCTATCTGTGTAATTAGAGGGATGATAATCTAGAGTTAATTCACTATGTGTACAAGTTACTGTGTGGATGGAAATCGAGACATTGATTGAGATTCAAAAAGAATAAAAGCAAAAATTAGTTTAGACCAATTACACTAAATTTTCTATTAAGGCAAATTGTCAATGATTTCTTTTCTTAGAAACTTTGATGATTAAGTTTTTTATTTTATTTTATTATTTTATTATTCATGAAATACATCAATTTTGAATAAAAAGTGGTACGTATTACAGGCAAGAAAAATAAAGTATCAAAGTATAAGGTGTATATGAAAAAACATTTGAGATGATGAATTTTGTGGGTCATATTTTGCATAGTTTCTATCTTTGTGAGCTTCTAAGTTGTAGGCATAATATACTGATACTATTTTCATTCGAAAAAAAAATACTGCAATAAAATGTTACAACCACATGAAGAGATACCAAATTTATAATTCAGTAAATAAATATAAACAATGTAAAAATATAGATTCTTCAACAGAATAGCCACACAACTGATTCTGTTTTTTTAGTTGTAATTTTTTTGAAGTTAGACTTTAACAAATATACATATTATATAAATGTTATATGTTATTTGCTAGAATTATGTTAAAATCATCAATTCAAAAAAAGCAATGAAACATAAAAGAGCAAGCTGCATTATAATACCAATTATGAAAGATTGAATTGACAACTCTTCTAGAAAACATTTTCAAATTTTGAATGTCACAGTAGGAAGTGTAAAATGAAGAACTTCAACTCTTTAGGATCTTAACAGGATGTTTTAAAAGGGCTAGATTTCATACACTATTCACAGTGTTTTTTTTGAGAATTAGAGTACACATTTAATATAAGTCATAAAGACGATGAAGTTAGAACTAAAGCACTTTCATTGATAATTTCTACATACTTGAAAACTAGTAAAATTCTCATTCTTATATATGATTTTATTGTGGTTTACAGAGTAATGAATTGTGTTGATAAATAAGTAATTAGTGGTATTCACTTGTGATGAATTTTCTTAGTTTGTTTTTATTCAAAATGAGAAAGTAATTTAGATTTCATTTATTATTTTACTCAATTACAGAAATTGCATGTGATACAGCATATATATGATTTATATTATTTTATTAGCTAGTATGATGTATGTGTATCAATTAAAATTTAAAAGTATAAAAACTACATAGAAATGTATGTTTGTACAACATATACATGTGCACATCCTGAAGCTCAAAAGTTGTACTTTTCAACGATTTCGTTCTTGTCGGTTGGGCAGAAGGACCGTCCAGCGGTAAACGACGGACGGACGAATAAAGTTATACAGTGACGGAAAAGTAAAATCTTTTCGTTTTATCCACGTTCTAATGTGTGAATGGACTCATCTCCGCTTCCCACAGCTGTAGGCTCCCGAACCTTCGACCCCCCACATCCGTCGAATGCTAACTGCTTCACCTCCGGGCGGAATCGCTGCCCCTCCTTCAGTCTTCGACGTGCAATCGAACTGTTGTTTTCTTCGTTCATGAATGGAGCGCTCTTGGAAATTTGGGTGTCTTGAAGTTGTTGTCGAGAATTTGGGATTTGAAGACGTTTTGAAATTGTGTTTCTGTGGCGTTTGATCTCCGGGTATGTTAGCGGCACTTGCATTTTGCGCGGCTCAAGGAGTTTTTCCCCCTTTTCTATGGACAATTGGATGGCAACTTACTGACTTCCGCATTCTGTTAAGAACTGGTAGTTGTTTAGAGAGTCGAATCGTTCTGTGGATGGGAGAATGAGTGAAGTGGGTGTGAAGATGTTGGTAGCGGAGCTGCAATTTTAGCAGATGGGGAAAGTACGAAGGATTGGGAAGTCACCGAGAGGCTATTACGGGTTGCGTTGGGAAATTTGAAGGGTACTTAGGGTGCGTGGAAAGCGACCTATAGTCTGTGAGTTCTCTTCGTTGGTTTGTGATAACCCATCCAAAACCCTAGCGCAGGGTTTATGGCATTTCGTGCAGAGAAGCTTGAAAAGGTTAATTATGCTCAAAGGTGTTTGGTGTATGTGAGGACTGGGGAATGGAGAAGGCGACGGGGTGCAGCATTAGGTGCAGAGGAGCTGTAAGATTTGCGGGAGTCGAAGGAATTTGTAGGACTCTTGAAGGAATATTAGAGATTGCCTAGACCGGCCGTTACTTATGGCTTCGAAAAAGTCTAGCAAAAGGTTGAGGTTCGCTGAAGATGCGCCTTGGCAGGGATGTCAAGGAGAGAGATTTTTTATTCAAATTAACGGGGGCAGCATCGTTGCTGGTCGGCAAGAACCCGATTTCCAGTCTGCCAGTAGAGTTGTGAAGGTTTTAGTCGGCATTGCCACCTCTATTCAAATTTGATCTTACTCTTATTGGGTCATGGGGCCTCTCCGCCGGTGTAATTTGGTGGGGCAATTGCAGTATAATCAAGATTCTTTGAAGCGAAGTTGCATGGGATATTTGTCACTTGAAATGAGTGCTAGCTGAGGTCGCATTCACAAAGAGGTGTTATCTCTGGCATTTTCTGCTTTGGGTAAATTTCTCATGCAGTCTCGCATATTACTTGATTTATGGTGCCCAATCAATGTCCCGTATCACCTACAAAAGAGACATATTGCTAGCCAGGATAGTCTAATCTACCAAGCCTTCATGTGGGCCAGTCTTATGCAGCTTCAATCTCCACTACTTTGTCGGTGTTATCTCATGAATCGTTCAACCTGATCTTGTAAGTTCAATATCCAACCTTGGACTTTACGGACGCTCAAGCATCTTCTCCTTGCACCTACACACTGTTTTTTGATTGGGAAGCAACTTGCTATCCCTGTTTTCTGTATAATAAAGTATGTTAACGGCGGTGGTTTGAAGGCACGATTGGAATTGATTATTGTGGTTTTCTTGTGATATAGGATGTTGCTAGAATGGGTATAGAAGTTCCATTTCTGTTGCACATATATGTAAGAAGAACTCAGCGTTGTTGGAGGGCATTAATGCGGTGGGTGGAAAAGCAATGGACTCAACAATGCAGCTTCTCAATAGTTCCAATGTATCGAGTGAGCTTATTGATGGACAGAGTGGGAGGGGTATTATTTTTTCTTCTTTTAGGTTGAATGAAGCTCAAGTAAGTATTCCTGTTAAATCTTCTTGTCTTTTTCAGAACATCATTGGTGCCATTAGACTGTATGAAGAGAAAGTGGCTATCTTCTTCAGTCATTCTTGAGTTTCTTTACCCAATGGCTCTACAATTAGAAGACTGCTTGTGAGAATCCTTTGTGAATTGAAATGTAGCTCATCCTGCTTGTGATGATCGGTTTTGCATGGACAGGTGCAAAGAATCTCTGTAGGCTCAACCGTGTTATCTGGAGGACAGACGCGACGCTCACAGCTATATTCTTTGTCCATTTCTGGATGTCCTAAAGGTGAAGGGCACAAGTACCTTCCTTCAGCTCATGTATGTGCAAATGCATCAGTGGATGGTGCTGCTGAACAATCGAAAAATGTACCCACAGCGAAGGATGCAGTTGCTTTGCTGAAGATTCGTGTTCAACAAGGCATTGTTATAGACTCTTTCTCATACGTTGATATTCTGCAAAGGTGCTTGAAGCAGGAAGATATACTGTTGGCCAAGCAGGTTCATGTCTGCATAATAAAAAGTGGAATGGAGCAAAATTTATATGTGGCTAACAAGTTGCTAAGAGTCTACATTAGATGTGGGAGGTTGCAGTGTGCACGCCAAGTATTTGACAAACTTGTGAAGAAGAACATTTATATTTGGACCACCATGATTGGAGGTTATGCTGAGTATGGTTATGCTGAAGATGCAATGAAAGTTTATAGTCAAATGCGTCGAGAAGGTGGGCAGCCAAATGAAATAACTTACCTGAGCATTCTGAAGGCATGCTGTAGTCCAGTAAGTTTAAAATGGGGCAAGAAAATCCACGCCCACATTATTCAGAGTGGCTTTCAATCAGATGTGCGTGTTGAAACTGCCCTCGTCAACATGTACGTGAAGTGTGGCAGCATTGATGATGCCCAGCTGATTTTTGACAAAATGGTCGAGCGCAACGTTATCAGTTGGACCGTTATGATCGGTGGGCTTGCACATTACGGACGTGGCCAGGAAGCGTTTCATCGCTTTCTGCAGATGCAGAGAGAAGGTTTTATTCCAAACTCATATACTTATGTGAGCATTCTTAATGCAAATGCAAGTGCAGGAGCTTTAGAATGGGTGAAGGAGGTTCATAGTCATGCTGTTAATGCGGGACTTGCATTGGATTTGCGTGTAGGAAATGCACTTGTTCACATGTATGCCAAAAGTGGCAGTATTGATGATGCTAGAGTAGTGTTCGATGGAATGGTGGAACGGGATATATTTAGTTGGACAGTGATGATTGGTGGACTTGCTCAACACGGGCGTGGCCAGGAAGCATTCTCTCTCTTTCTTCAGATGGAGAGAGGAGGGTGTTTACCGAATTTAACAACCTATTTGAGCATCCTCAATGCCAGTGCAATTACAAGCACGGGGGCTTTAGAATGGGTGAAGGAAGTTCACAAGCATGCAGGGAAAGCGGGATTCATCTCAGATTTGCGCGTTGGCAATGCACTTATTCACATGTATGCCAAGTGTGGCAGTATCGATGATGCTCGCCTGGTTTTTGATGGAATGTGTGATCGCGATGTAATCAGTTGGAACGCGATGATAGGTGGACTTGCTCAAAATGGGTGTGGGCACGAAGCGTTCACCATTTTTCTAAAAATGCAGCAAGAAGGATTTGTACCAGATTCAACTACATATTTAAGTCTTCTCAATACACATGTTAGTACAGGTGCTTGGGAATGGGTGAAAGAAGTCCACAAGCACGCTGTGGAAGTGGGACTTGTATCGGATTTGCGTGTGGGCAGCGCATTTGTTCACATGTACATCAGGTGCGGCAGTATTGATGATGCCCAGCTAATCTTTGATAAATTAGCAGTACGAAATGTAACAACATGGAACGCAATGATTGGCGGAGTTGCTCAACAGAAGTGTGGGCGTGAAGCACTCTCTCTCTTTCTCCAGATGCGAAGAGAGGGTTTTTTTCCAGATGCAACAACTTTTGTGAACATTCTCAGTGCAAATGTGGGCGAGGAAGCTTTAGAATGGGTGAAAGAGGTTCATAGTTATGCTATTGATGCAGGTCTTGTGGATTTGCGTGTGGGCAATGCGCTTGTTCATATGTACGCGAAATGTGGAAATACTATGTATGCCAAACAGGTTTTTGACGACATGGTGGAACGTAATGTAACGACATGGACTGTGATGATTAGTGGACTTGCACAACACGGGTGTGGGCATGAAGCATTTTCTCTCTTTCTTCAAATGCTGAGAGAAGGAATTGTTCCAGATGCTACAACTTATGTCAGCATCCTTAGTGCATGTGCAAGTACAGGAGCTTTAGAATGGGTGAAAGAGGTTCATAGTCATGCTGTGAATGCGGGACTTGTCTCAGATTTGCGTGTGGGTAATGCACTTGTTCACATGTACGCCAAGTGTGGCAGTGTCGATGATGCTAGAAGAGTCTTTGACGATATGTTGGAACGGGATGTATACAGTTGGACAGTGATGATTGGTGGGCTTGCACAGCACGGACGTGGTCTAGATGCCCTTGACCTTTTTGTTAAAATGAAATTAGAGGGTTTTAAACCCAATGGATACTCCTTCGTAGCTGTTTTGTCAGCCTGCAGTCATGCGGGTCTTGTGGATGAAGGTCGGCGCCAGTTTTTGTCTCTGACCCAAGATTACGGCATAGAACCTACAATGGAGCATTACACCTGCATGGTGGATCTTCTTGGGCGGGCCGGGCAGCTGGAGGAAGCAAAGCACTTCATTCTTAATATGCCAATTGAGCCAGGTGATGCACCCTGGGGAGCCTTGCTTGGGGCCTGTGTAACTTATGGAAATTTAGAAATGGCTGAATTTGCTGCCAAAGAGCGTCTTAAGTTGAAACCAAAGAGTGCCTCTACGTATGTGCTCCTCTCCAACATCTATGCGGCAACTGGCAATTGGGAACAGAAGTTACTCGTGCGCAGTATGATGCAGAGAAGAGGAATTCGCAAGGAGCCAGGGCGTAGCTGGATTGAGGTTGATAATCAGATTCACAGCTTTGTTGTAGGGGATACATCCCATCCTGAATCAAAGGAGATTTATGCTAAGCTGAAGGATTTGATTAAAAGGTTGAAGGCTGAAGGTTATGTTCCTGATACCCGACTTGTATTGCGCAATACTGATCAGGAGTACAAAGAACAAGCTCTTTGCTCTCACAGTGAGAAGCTGGCTATAGTGTATGGACTAATGCATACTCCTTATAGAAATCCTATTCGAGTGTACAAGAACCTTCGGGTCTGTTCAGATTGCCATACAGCAACCAAGTTCATCTCAAAGGTGACCGGACGCGAGATAGTTGCTAGGGATGCAAAGCGATTCCATCACTTCAAAGATGGTGTGTGTTCTTGTGGCGATTACTGGTAACTAGGTGGGAATTACATCACGTGAATGTAAATCCTCTGGATGAAAATCCCACTCTTAATAGGAGAATTGTCTTCTCAATTCTTGTAACTTTGACCAAATCAAGAGTTTCAACTGTTGTCATGAAGCATTATGGCATTCAGACTTTATGTGAAAAATCATTGAGCTCCCATCTTTCCAATACCTCTCTCGGCTACCCTAACCCTCGGTCATGCCACCACCCAGACCGAGAACGGATGTACATCCAAGAATTAGTCTCGATCGAATTGGAACCGTAATCGGAAAAGGCATTCTCTATTTAGGGTTGGAACAAAATTGTTGAATGCAACGAAGCTTAGATTTTAACTTCAAACAATCACAAAAATTTTGTAGGAGAAAGTCGCTGTAAATACGAACAATTTCATTCAACTCATGACCATGGTGGGCGAGAGAACAAATTTCGTCTGCTCTTGAAGCCATTCATGTACCTGCGCCAACGTTTCTCCTACAGCAGCACACAATTGCGCAGTATTTGTGCAGGGACTAACGACGACCTCAGCAAGTTGTACGTGCCCTTGTTCCCCACATCGCAGTATTGCCTGCTGGGTGTAGGTGGACCAGCTCCCCCAGATGCCCACAGGTTGGATTGAGGGAATCAGCGCCCGACAGCGTTGGTGTCGCACACTCCAGCTGCACCACACTCGCCACGGAAGCCCAGCAGCACGAGCAAATATACTGACAACGCAGTGTTACGAGTCCCGTTGTGGAAATCAGCAGTTGTCTGGTGCTTGGAAGTTCATTTGAGTAAAGAGCAACGCCCCCTAACAAAGGATCTGACCTCTAGCTGTGTGACCATCACGGCGAGTCCTAAAAATACTGGTTGCGTGGTTACACAACACATCAAGCTGGGATCCTCAAGTTTGAAAGTTAGGTGGTCGATAGCCAATCCGACGTGATCTTATGGGGTCCATTTAGGTGATACAAATCATTCACTTGGAACTACCCAGGAAGCTCAGCAAAACGGACAAGAAACTTCACTGGAGAAAGTCCATTTAGAATACTCTCAAAATCTGTTCCAAAGAGCAGGAGAACTCATGTGATGCCAAGCAAAAACTATGAGGTCTGTGTGAGAATTTGGCACAGACGCATTTAAACTCAAAAAAAGGTTCGGAAAACGTTCACAAACATTCGAACCGGTCACATGGACCGCAGTGCGAGAAACCCACCCGCTGTAAGTAAGTCTCTTCGCTAGTTCATGCCGTGGGCGTTGCACCCTCCAGCCGCGCTGCATACTCGGGCACCGCAGGCCCAGGCAGCACAGCTCCAGCAGCAAACAAACGGCATGACACGAAGCCGCACGCGCACACCCAAACGCCATGGCCGCAAGGGTTTGGGCACGCTCGGATGCAGGGGACCATCGAGCAGCTTCGCAATGCAGCGGGGCCGGTGCGGCGGTGGAAGGCAGGTGGAGAGAAAAACACGGCACCGCGGTGGCTGACGCGCTCATCCGGGGTCCATTTCGCGGAAACCAATCCAAGGCCTCCACGTTTGGTGACAATGAATATCTGACACTCGGCGCCCGGAAGTCAACGCCCCCAACTGCTCGAGGCCCAGCCCCCAGATAGCCGCGCATTCGACAGCGATTTTCGTTACTAAAGGGTTTCGCGCGCGCACCTGTCAGAGCCTCAAATGCAGTTCGGTGAGGTGCAGCGACCCGTCAGAGTGAAGTTGACGCAGTGTGGCGATGGGCCATGCGACCTGCTTGTGCGTGGCCAAGGCTAGAAAAAGGCGGCATTGTTCCTGGTCCAAACCATCCTCAGATCGCCTCTCGGTTCAGCGCAGCCCTCAGCCGTGAGCCGTGAGCCGTGAGCCCTTAGCACAGCTCAGATCAGCTCAGCTCCGCTTGGTGGCTGACCGCTCAGCAAGCAGCAACGTGGTGGTGAGCCGAGTCCAGGAGCAGCAGGATCTCGGAGCCGAGTTGAGCCCCCCAGTAAACGCATCGGGACCGGCAGCGGCAATGGCAATGGCAGTGGCAGTGGCAGGATCGAAGTGGCGTTTCGCAGCTGTAAGCGTTTGTTTGCTGGTGGTGATGGCGATGGTGGCCGAATCCAGCGCTGCCGGGGTGTGCGACCCCAACGCGCTGTACCCGTGCCTGCGAGCCATTCAGGGAGCTCGGCCACCGCCGCCCAGCGCGCAGTGCTGCATGGTGGTCCGCAGGGCGAACAAGAATTGCATGTGCGCTCAGCTGAGGTCCAGCTCCTTCCCCGCCCAGATGGTGAACAACGGGTTGCGGCTGCCCAAGAAGTGTGGTCGCACGGATCTGGGTGGCTTCCGCTGCGGGCGTTACACGTTCCCCAAATGAGCGGATGGTTGCAGGCGGGAAGCAGCAGGAAGGCTGGGCGGTGGGCAATGCGGACCCGGGACGGCGTTGGGCAGCGGAGCGTAGGTGTGGATAGTTCATGTCGGTATAGCCAGGATCACGTGTGTGGCGGTGCAATCATGGGTATTGTATGGGACTCTTGTGGATACCCCATTGTATTGTTTCTTTCCTTCCCCCCATGAAACGCTGGCTTCCTGTTCTCAGCACTACTTGTCCCTTTCACGCGAGTCGTCCTGTTTTTCTACGGGCGCTGGAAGCCGTCGTGTCCCCGAGTGAGCATGTGTCCACTACTGATAGCTACTTGATTTCTATTACTTCAACATTAATCCATATGCCAAGTAAAAATTTCAATAATATAGGTTACAGTCCTTATTAAATCTTCTTTTTCTAATAAGATAAAGGATGTGTCATGTGCATATTGAGTTAATACTTATTAATGTCCTATGATGAGAAGTTAGATGCTTTGTATAGTCCCACTTGCAATGTTCTTTGTTATCATGGTATTTATTGCTTCTCCTACAATTAAGAATAAATAAAGAACCAATGGACATCCTTGTCTCATCCCTCTTATAATTGGAAAATATTTTGATAATGTTCCATTTACCTTTATACAAGTTGAAGCATTTCCTAAAAGAAAATTGACCATGTCTATGAATTCTTTTGAGAAGCCTAGTACTATCATAATTGTGAATAAAAAATAATATTCTATCATATCATATACCTTTGAAAAATCTAATTTGAGAAATAATAGAGGTTGATCTAAATATTCAGCCTATTCCATGGTTTCTTAGGTAAGTAAAAAATTGTCCATATGAATTCCATGAATAAGAATATCAATTGATCTATGCTAATAATATTTATAAGTATTGATCATAAAGATAGGTGCAATGTCATGGCATATATTTTGTAGTCTAAGTTCAAAAGTGTAATGGACTTCCAATTGGTTAAGAAGCAACAATCTCCATCTTTATGAAGAAGGGTTATTGTACTAGTAGTAACTCAAGGAAGGAGGAACCCTAAAATAAGGCTAGTATTAATCATTTCTATGTATTGTTAGCCAATTATGTCTCAAAAAGTGAGATAGAACTCTATCACTACATCTGGGTCCATATACTTAAATTTAGCTAGTATTGAAAGTGCACAAATTGTTTCTTAGAGCGTTAATGGGTCTTTTAGTAAATTTAATGTCTCTATATCTAGTATCATTTCTAATACTTTGTAGGCCTAATCTTGCACCTCCCTAACTACTTTCGAATTGTGGCTTGTTCTTTATAGTTTGTGATAATAATTTATACAGATCTTGGACATAGCGGCCTGGTTGGTATATAATTGCCCTAAATGGTCTACCAATTTTGAAATTTAGGAGCTTAACAACTATTCTTGATTAACATTAAAAAATTTCCATGAGCACCTATCTCTGACTTGCTACCATTTGATTTTGCTCCGTACCCACCCACCCTTAGTTATTTGTACATCCATAGCTTTGAAGTTGTCCATATACTAAACTATATTTTATTGGAGACATGAATTATTGGGATCTCTATATAATTCCAAAATTATATTTGTGAGATTTTGGTAAAGAACATTTTCTTTCCAATGCCGCTCTCTTCTTTTTTGACACACATCTTTATAAAACTTCATACAACACGTATTTTTCTTTAAAAAGATAGATTAGAATGGATATTTCAAATTTGAAAAATGCAATTTAGATTGTTAAATCCTAAAGGTATGATGGATTTATCACATATTATAATATGCACTTGATTTCTAGGAAGAAAAAAATCTATTTTTATATCAAGAGGTGGTCAGAATGGTTGTTATCACCAAGTATGTAATAATCAACACTTGTGAGTCGCTTTCCAAGAGAGACAAAGGAATACACTTTGACAAGCTGTCTTATGGTCTAGAAATGTTTTCTCTGGTAATTATTTCAAATATAAAAAATATAATGAGATGTCAAAAAATTGTTCAAAATTTATAGAATTTGTGTGAGATTGCTGAATAATCGTCTCTTACATGCAAGCAAAGTGGATTCCTTAATATTTGACTTATCAACATTTTTTTTGGAAAACTTTTAATCACCCTCTAAAATCCACTAGCACTCTCTTAAAAGAGATTGAATTAATTCAATTTACAATTCATACCTCTCAATCGAGGTGAGATATAGGTAGATATTGAAAACATCAATGTCTATGCCAACTGTCTTATGAAAGCTTAGCCATTGTGCCTTCCTTGTGTTTTGAGTATCTCTTAGTAACAATTAAGTGGGTCAATTGGGAAGCAACTCAAAGACATGTGATGATACACATCGGTATCAGATGGTAGCCAAAGCGCTGCTTCTCGCTGATGAGACGCGAATGCACGACCCCTCCTGCTCACCTCCAGGCGGGTGCAAGGGTGCAACGTCATGTGGTTCGCCGCTCTCCTTGGTAACCTGTTGCTAGAGCTCCCGGGCCTAAATCAACTCATTCTCGCAGACTCCAAGTCCAAGTCGAAGTGCAGGTGCAGGCCATGAATGAGGGAGCGGTTCGGACGGATGTTGACCCGATGGTCATGCGAGGTAAGCTTTCCACTTTCGTGGATGAAGTCATCCACTGCAGAGGTGCGGCTGCGGTCGGAGACCCCCGCCGCCGACACATGCCCCGGAGAATGGCAACCGCTTCGTCAGCAACGCTTGAACGATTACGTCGCGGATCTGTTGGACCCGTCCTTCAACGGCAGGGCCGTTCCTGATCTCGGCTCCATACACAGCGTCTCAAACCTCGCAACCTTCCCCATTGTCGAAATCAATCACTCTTAAGTATCAACCAATTAACTAGAACAGAGAATATGTTTATAATTAGCTCTGCAGTCATTGCATGGAGCAATTATTTTTTCGCGTGGTACCACTTTTTGACAAATGTTTCGCACCACCTCATGTTGGAGTTGTTGGTCCACTGGCTATGCACCACAGTGCAAGTCCCAAGCGGATGGGATAATGCCGTGCCATGCAATGCAAATTCTTTAGCTTGATTTGGATGAGGTAAATGGTTACCTTCTAACCCCTCCTGCTGTTTTCCGGTCACTTTCATTCACACCCACATCTTGCACCGACAGCTACTAAAGCAGTGAGTGTTTGAACACTAGATCGAAAAAGCATGGATGGATTCAGCCCCAGCATTTACGTTTGAGCAACGGTAGCAGCAGCAAGTCACAAGCAAAGCCACGCATTCCAAATACAATTTAATGCTGCTCAGGCGCCATGAAACCGGAGAGTGTGGGAATTGAGTATTTACGTATTGGGATCAGATCAGGTTGGTAAAGGGTGCGCGAACCATGAGCATGATACCACTGCGACGAAAGCATCTTCAAACAGCGCCTACCGCACATCTAATGCCTACCGCTCATCTAAACGCAGGAATGATGCACGCACGAAACCAAATCGCTCCCACCCTGACTGGCATCTGGATGCGCCTTCACAAGCATGCACTCGGATGCCTTCATGTCAACAACCAGTGTAAGGAAATTCCGCCCGTTCCTGCTCCCATGAAGGTCGCAGCCCACGCCGTCCCCTTACTGGCAGGAACGCACACAAAACCAAAACCAACAACAACAACAACAACAACAAGGCGTGCCCGAGGCACAGCCAGTTCTCGGCACAAGCCTGGTAGTCCCGAAACCGGCAATGCCCTCCACTGAGACTACCGCAAAAACCACCCGCACACGCCTCCAACATGAATACACCAGATACTCGGCCCTGACTCATGCGGTGCTATATCCGAGACCTTCGCCCTCAAAATTGCTCACTAACCACAATGACAGTGGTCGGGCACAACTTGGAAGGAACTTGTCATCGCCATTGGACATGCCGGTGTGGTCGAAAATGCGTGCCATAGCTGTACAGGACTTCCAGTGCTCCTCACGTCCAACATGGAAGTATGCAGTTTCATCCGAGTGCGCCACAAAGTACGTAAGGTCCAAATTGAATCGGTCACCATGGGAACCGGTAGCCTGCACGGAGGTGCAAGATTCGCCCCCGACTGTGGGTAAGTCTCCTCGCTGGTTCATGGCAGGCGCATTGGCATATCAAGGTACGACCAGCTCCCTCAGTTTCCCACAGTTGGACGCGGACAAGGCATAAAGGGAGAGCGTTGGCGTTGCACCCTCCAGCCGCGCTGCATACTCGGGCACCGCAGGCCCAGGCAGCACAGCTCCAGCAGCAAACAAACGGCATGACACGAAGCCGCACGCGCACACCCAAACGCCATGGCCGCAAGGGTTTGGGCACGCTCGGATGCAGGGGACCATCGAGCAGCTTCGCAATGCAGCGGGGCCGGTGCGGCGGTGGAAGGCAGGTGGAGAGAAAAACACGGCACCGCGGTGGCTGACGCGCTCATCCGGGGTCCATTTCGCGGAAACCAATCCAAGGCCTCCACGTTTGGTGACAATGAATATCTGACACTCGGCGCCCGGAAGTCAACGCCCCCAACTGCTCGAGGCCCAGCCCCCAGATAGCCGCGCATTCGACAGCGATTTTCGTTACTAAAGGGTTTCGCGCGCGCACCTGTCAGAGCCTCAAATGCAGTTCGGTGAGGTGCAGCGACCCGTCAGAGTGAAGTTGACGCAGTGTGGCGATGGGCCATGCGACCTGCTTGTGCGTGGCCAAGGCTAGAAAAAGGCGGCATTGTTCCTGGTCCAAACCATCCTCAGATCGCCTCTCGGTTCAGCGCAGCCCTCAGCCGTGAGCCGTGAGCCGTGAGCCCTTAGCACAGCTCAGATCAGCTCAGCTCCGCTTGGTGGCTGACCGCTCAGCAAGCAGCAACGTGGTGGTGAGCCGAGTCCAGGAGCAGCAGGATCTCGGAGCCGAGTTGAGCCCCCCAGTAAACGCATCGGGACCGGCAGCGGCAATGGCAATGGCAGTGGCAGTGGCAGGATCGAAGTGGCGTTTCGCAGCTGTAAGCGTTTGTTTGCTGGTGGTGATGGCGATGGTGGCCGAATCCAGCGCTGCCGGGGTGTGCGACCCCAACGCGCTGTACCCGTGCCTGCGAGCCATTCAGGGAGCTCGGCCACCGCCGCCCAGCGCGCAGTGCTGCATGGTGGTCCGCAGGGCGAACAAGAATTGCATGTGCGCTCAGCTGAGGTCCAGCTCCTTCCCCGCCCAGATGGTGAACAACGGGTTGCGGCTGCCCAAGAAGTGTGGTCGCACGGATCTGGGTGGCTTCCGCTGCGGGCGTTACACGTTCCCCAAATGAGCGGATGGTTGCAGGCGGGAAGCAGCAGGAAGGCTGGGCGGTGGGCAATGCGGACCCGGGACGGCGTTGGGCAGCGGAGCGTAGGTGTGGATAGTTCATGTCGGTATAGCCAGGATCACGTGTGTGGCGGTGCAATCATGGGTATTGTATGGGACTCTTGTGGATACCCCATTGTATTGTTTCTTTCCTTCCCCCCATGAAACGCTGGCTTCCTGTTCTCAGCACTACTTGTCCCTTTCACGCGAGTCGTCCTGTTTTTCTACGGGCGCTGGAAGCCGTCGTGTCCCCGAGTGAGCATGTGTCCACTACTGATAGCTACTTGATTTCTATTACTTCAACATTAATCCATATGCCAAGTAAAAATTTCAATAATATAGGTTACAGTCCTTATTAAATCTTCTTTTTCTAATAAGATAAAGGATGTGTCATGTGCATATTGAGTTAATACTTATTAATGTCCTATGATGAGAAGTTAGATGCTTTGTATAGTCCCACTTGCAATGTTCTTTGTTATCATGGTATTTATTGCTTCTCCTACAATTAAGAATAAATAAAGAACCAATGGACATCCTTGTCTCATCCCTCTTATAATTGGAAAATATTTTGATAATGTTCCATTTACCTTTATACAAGTTGAAGCATTTCCTAAAAGAAAATTGACCATGTCTATGAATTCTTTTGAGAAGCCTAGTACTATCATAATTGTGAATAAAAAATAATATTCTATCATATCATATACCTTTGAAAAATCTAATTTGAGAAATAATAGAGGTTGATCTAAATATTCAGCCTATTCCATGGTTTCTTAGGTAAGTAAAAAATTGTCCATATGAATTCCATGAATAAGAATATCAATTGATCTATGCTAATAATATTTATAAGTATTGATCATAAAGATAGGTGCAATGTCATGGCATATATTTTGTAGTCTAAGTTCAGAAGTGTAATGGACTTCCAATTGGTTAAGAAGCAACAATCTCCACCTTTATGAAGAAGGGTTATTGTACTAGTAGTAACTCAAGGAAGGAGGAACCCTAAAATAAGGCTAGTATTAATCATTTCTATGTATTGTTAGCCAATTATGTCTCAAAAAGTGAGATAGAACTCTATCACTACATCTGGGTCCATATACTTAAATTTAGCTAGTATTGAAAGTGCACAAATTGTTTCTTAGAGCGTTAATGGGTCTTTTAGTAAATTTAATGTCTCTATATCTAGTATCATTTCTAATACTTTGTAGGCCTAATCTTGCACCTCCCTAACTACTTTCGAATTGTGGCTTGTTCTTTATAGTTTGTGATAATAATTTATACAGATCTTGGACATAGCGGCCTGGTTGGTATATAATTGCCCTAAATGGTCTACCAATTTTGAAATTTAGGAGCTTAACAACTATTCTTGATTAACATTAAAAAATTTCCATGAGCACCTATCTCTGACTTGCTACCATTTGATTTTGCTCCGTACCCACCCACCCTTAGTTATTTGTACATCCATAGCTTTGAAGTTGTCCATATACTAAACTATATTTTATTGGAGACATGAATTATTGGGATCTCTATATAATTCCAAAATTATATTTGTGAGATTTTGGTAAAGAACATTTTCTTTCCAATGCCGCTCTCTTCTTTTTTGACACACATCTTTATAAAACTTCATACAACACGTATTTTTCTTTAAAAAGATAGATTAGAATGGATATTTCAAATTTGAAAAATGCAATTTAGATTGTTAAATCCTAAAGGTATGATGGATTTATCACATATTATAATATGCACTTGATTTCTAGGAAGAAAAAAATCTATTTTTATATCAAGAGGTGGTCAGAATGGTTGTTATCACCAAGTATGTAATAATCAACACTTGTGAGTCGCTTTCCAAGAGAGACAAAGGAATATACTTTGACAAGCTGTCTTATGGTCTAGAAATGTTTTCTCTGGTAATTATTTCAAATATAAAAAATATAATGAGATGTCAAAAAATTGTTCAAAATTTATAGAATTTGTGTGAGATTGCTGAATAATCGTCTCTTACATGCAAGCAAAGTGGATTCCTTAATATTTGACTTATCAACATTTTTTTTGGAAAACTTTTAATCACCCTCTAAAATCCACTAGCAGTCTCTTAAAAGAGATTGAATTAATTCAATTTACAATTCATACCTCTCAATCGAGGTGAGATATAGGTAGATATTGAAAACATCAATGTCTATGCCAACTGTCTTATGAAAGCTTAGCCATTGTGCCTTCCTTGTGTTTTGAGTATCTCTTAGTAACAATTAAGTGGGTCAATTGGGAAGCAACTCAAAGACATGTGATGATACACATCGGTATCAGATGGTAGCCAAAGCGCTGCTTCTCGCTGATGAGACGCGAATGCACGACCCCTCCTGCTCACCTCCAGGCGGGTGCAAGGGTGCAACGTCATGTGGTTCGCCGCTCTCCTTGGTAACCTGTTGCTAGAGCTCCCGGGCCTAAATCAACTCATTCTCGCAGACTCCAAGTCCAAGTCGAAGTGCAGGTGCAGGCCATGAATGAGGGAGCGGTTCGGACGGATGTTGACCCGATGGTCATGCGAGGTAAGCTTTCCACTTTCGTGGATGAAGTCATCCACTGCAGAGGTGCGGCTGCGGTCGGAGACCCCCGCCGCCGACACATGCCCCGGAGAATGGCAACCGCTTCGTCAGCAACGCTTGAACGATTACGTCGCGGATCTGTTGGACCCGTCCTTCAACGGCAGGGCCGTTCCTGATCTCGGCTCCATACACAGCGTCTCAAACCTCGCAACCTTCCCCATTGTCGAAATCAATCACTCTTAAGTATCAACCAATTAACTAGAACAGAGAATATGTTTATAATTCGCTCTGCAGTCATTGCATGGAGCAATTATTTTTTCGCGTGGTACCACTTTTTGACAAATGTTTCGCACCACCTCATGTTGGAGTTGTTGGTCCACTGGCTATGCACCACAGTGCAAGTCCCAAGCGGATGGGATAATGCCGTGCCATGCAATGCAAATTCTTTAGCTTGATTTGGATGAGGTAAATGGTTACCTTCTAACCCCTCCTGCTGTTTTCCGGTCACTTTCATTCACACCCACATCTTGCACCGACAGCTACTAAAGCAGTGAGTGTTTGAACACTAGATCGAAAAAGCATGGATGGATTCAGCCCCAGCATTTACGTTTGAGCAACGGTAGCAGCAGCAAGTCACAAGCAAAGCCACGCATTCCAAATACAATTTAATGCTGCTCAGGCGCCATGAAACCGGAGAGTGTGGGAATTGAGTATTTACGTATTGGGATCAGATCAGGTTGGTAAAGGGTGCGCGAACCATGAGCATGATACCACTGCGACGAAAGCATCTTCAAACAGCGCCTACCGCACATCTAATGCCTACCGCTCATCTAAACGCAGGAATGATGCACGCACGAAACCAAATCGCTCCCACCCTGACTGGCATCTGGATGCGCCTTCACAAGCATGCACTCGGATGCCTTCATGTCAACAACCAGTGTAAGGAAATTCCGCCCGTTCCTGCTCCCATGAAGGTCGCAGCCCACGCCGTCCCCTTACTGGCAGGAACGCACACAAAACCAAAACCAACAACAACAACAACAACAACAACAAGGCGGCGTGCCCGAGGCACAGCCAGTTCTCGGCACAAGCCTGGTAGTCCCGAAACCGGCAATGCCCTCCACTGAGACTACCGCAAAAACCACCCGCACACGCCTCCAACATGAATACACCAGATACTCGGCCCTGACTCATGCGGTGCTATATCCGAGACCTTCGCCCTCAAAATTGCTCACTAACCACAATGACAGTGGTCGGGCACAACTTGGAAGGAACTTGTCATCGCCATTGGACATGCCGGTGTGGTCGAAAATGCGTGCCATAGCTGTACAGGACTTCCAGTGCTCCTCACGTCCAACATGGAAGTATGCAGTTTCATCCGAGTGCGCCACAAAGTACGTAAGGTCCAAATTGAATCGGTCACCATGGGAACCGGTAGCCTGCACGGAGGTGCAAGATTCGCCCCCGACTGTGGGTAAGTCTCCTCGCTGGTTCATGGCAGGCGCATTGGCATATCAAGGTACGACCAGCTCCCTCAGTTTCCCACAGTTGGACGCGGACAAGGCATAAAGGGAGAGCGTTGGCGTTGCACCCTCCAGCCGCGCTGCATACTCGGGCACCGCAGGCCCAGGCAGCACAGCTCCAGCAGCAAACAAACGGCATGACACGAAGCCGCACGCGCACACCCAAACGCCATGGCCGCAAGGGTTTGGGCACGCTCGGATGCAGGGGACCATCGAGCAGCTTCGCAATGCAGCGGGGCCGGTGCGGCGGTGGAAGGCAGGTGGAGAGAAAAACACGGCACCGCGGTGGCTGACGCGCTCATCCGGGGTCCATTTCGCGGAAACCAATCCAAGGCCTCCACGTTTGGTGACAATGAATATCTGACACTCGGCGCCCGGAAGTCAACGCCCCCAACTGCTCGAGGCCCAGCCCCCAGATAGCCGCGCATTCGACAGCGATTTTCGTTACTAAAGGGTTTCGCGCGCGCACCTGTCAGAGCCTCAAATGCAGTTCGGTGAGGTGCAGCGACCCGTCAGAGTGAAGTTGACGCAGTGTGGCGATGGGCCATGCGACCTGCTTGTGCGTGGCCAAGGCTAGAAAAAGGCGGCATTGTTCCTGGTCCAAACCATCCTCAGATCGCCTCTCGGTTCAGCGCAGCCCTCAGCCGTGAGCCGTGAGCCGTGAGCCCTTAGCACAGCTCAGATCAGCTCAGCTCCGCTTGGTGGCTGACCGCTCAGCAAGCAGCAACGTGGTGGTGAGCCGAGTCCAGGAGCAGCAGGATCTCGGAGCCGAGTTGAGCCCCCCAGTAAACGCATCGGGACCGGCAGCGGCAATGGCAATGGCAGTGGCAGTGGCAGGATCGAAGTGGCGTTTCGCAGCTGTAAGCGTTTGTTTGCTGGTGGTGATGGCGATGGTGGCCGAATCCAGCGCTGCCGGGGTGTGCGACCCCAACGCGCTGTACCCGTGCCTGCGAGCCATTCAGGGAGCTCGGCCACCGCCGCCCAGCGCGCAGTGCTGCATGGTGGTCCGCAGGGCGAACAAGAATTGCATGTGCGCTCAGCTGAGGTCCAGCTCCTTCCCCGCCCAGATGGTGAACAACGGGTTGCGGCTGCCCAAGAAGTGTGGTCGCACGGATCTGGGTGGCTTCCGCTGCGGGCGTTACACGTTCCCCAAATGAGCGGATGGTTGCAGGCGGGAAGCAGCAGGAAGGCTGGGCGGTGGGCAATGCGGACCCGGGACGGCGTTGGGCAGCGGAGCGTAGGTGTGGATAGTTCATGTCGGTATAGCCAGGATCACGTGTGTGGCGGTGCAATCATGGGTATTGTATGGGACTCTTGTGGATACCCCATTGTATTGTTTCTTTCCTTCCCCCCATGAAACGCTGGCTTCCTGTTCTCAGCACTACTTGTCCCTTTCACGCGAGTCATCCTGTTTTTCTACGGGCGCTGGAAGCCGTCGTGTCCCCGAGTGAGCATGTGTCCACTACTGATAGCTACTTGATTTCTATTACTTCAACATTAATCCATATGCCAAGTAAAAATTTCAATAATATAGGTTACAGTCCTTATTAAATCTTCTTTTTCTAATAAGATAAAGGATGTGTCATGTGCATATTGAGTTAATACTTATTAATGTCCTATGATGAGAAGTTAGATGCTTTGTATAGTCCCACTTGCAATGTTCTTTGTTATCATGGTATTTATTGCTTCTCCTACAATTAAGAATAAATAAAGAACCAATGGACATCCTTGTCTCATCCCTCTTATAATTGGAAAATATTTTGATAATGTTCCATTTACCTTTATACAAGTTGAAGCATTTCCTAAAAGAAAATTGACCATGTCTATGAATTCTTTTGAGAAGCCTAGTACTATCATAATTGTGAATAAAAAATAATATTCTATCATATCATATACCTTTGAAAAATCTAATTTGAGAAATAATAGAGGTTGATCTAAATATTCAGCCTATTCCATGGTTTCTTAGGTAAGTAAAAAATTGTCCATATGAATTCCATGAATAAGAATATCAATTGATCTATGCTAATAATATTTATAAGTATTGATCATAAAGATAGGTGCAATGTCATGGCATATATTTTGTAGTCTAAGTTCAAAAGTGTAATGGACTTCCAATTGGTTAAGAAGCAACAATCTCCACCTTTATGAAGAAGGGTTATTGTACTAGTAGTAACTCAAGGAAGGAGGAACCCTAAAATAAGGCTAGTATTAATCATTTCTATGTATTGTTAGCCAATTATGTCTCAAAAAGTGAGATAGAACTCTATCACTACATCTGGGTCCATATACTTAAATTTAGCTAGTATTGAAAGTGCACAAATTGTTTCTTAGAGCGTTAATGGGTCTTTTAGTAAATTTAATGTCTCTATATCTAGTATCATTTCTAATACTTTGTAGGCCTAATCTTGCACCTCCCTAACTACTTTCGAATTGTGGCTTGTTCTTTATAGTTTGTGATAATAATTTATACAGATCTTGGACATAGCGGCCTGGTTGGTATATAATTGCCCTAAATGGTCTACCAATTTTGAAATTTAGGAGCTTAACAACTATTCTTGATTAACATTAAAAAATTTCCATGAGCACCTATCTCTGACTTGCTACCATTTGATTTTGCTCCGTACCCACCCACCCTTAGTTATTTGTACATCCATAGCTTTGAAGTTGTCCATATACTAAACTATATTTTATTGGAGACATGAATTATTGGGATCTCTATATAATTCCAAAATTATATTTGTGAGATTTTGGTAAAGAACATTTTCTTTCCAATGCCGCTCTCTTCTTTTTTGACACACATCTTTATAAAACTTCATACAACACGTATTTTTCTTTAAAAAGATAGATTAGAATGGATATTTCAAATTTGAAAAATGCAATTTAGATTGTTAAATCCTAAAGGTATGATGGATTTATCACATATTATAATATGCACTTGATTTCTAGGAAGAAAAAAATCTATTTTTATATCAAGAGGTGGTCAGAATGGTTGTTATCACCAAGTATGTAATAATCAACACTTGTGAGTCGCTTTCCAAGAGAGACAAAGGAATACACTTTGACAAGCTGTCTTATGGTCTAGAAATGTTTTCTCTGGTAATTATTTCAAATATAAAAAATATAATGAGATGTCAAAAAATTGTTCAAAATTTATAGAATTTGTGTGAGATTGCTGAATAATCGTCTCTTACATGCAAGCAAAGTGGATTCCTTAATATTTGACTTATCAACATTTTTTTTGGAAAAATTTTAATCACCCTCTAAAATCCACTAGCAGTCTCTTAAAAGAGATTGAATTAATTCAATTTACAATTCATACCTCTCAATAGAGGTGAGATATAGGTAGATATTGAAAACATCAATGTCTATGCCAACTGTCTTATGAAAGCTTAGCCATTGTGCCTTCCTTGTGTTTTGAGTATCTCTTAGTAACAATTAAGTGGGCCAATTGGGAAGCAACTCAAAGACATGTGATGATACACATCGGTATCAGATGGTAGCCAAAGCGCTGCTTCTCGCTGATGAGACGCGAATGCACGACCCCTCCTGCTCACCTCCAGGCGGGTGCAAGGGTGCAACGTCATGTGGTTCGCCGCTCTCCTTGGTAACCTGTTGCTAGAGCTCCCGGGCCTAAATCAACTCATTCTCGCAGACTCCAAGTCCAAGTCGAAGTGCAGGTGCAGGCCATGAATGAGGGAGCGGTTCGGACGGATGTTGACCCGATGGTCATGCGAGGTAAGCTTTCCACTTTCGTGGATGAAGTCATCCACTGCAGAGGTGCGGCTGCGGTCGGAGACCCCCGCCGCCGACACATGCCCCGGAGAATGGCAACCGCTTCGTCAGCAACGCTTGAACGATTACGTCGCGGATCTGTTGGACCCGTCCTTCAACGGCAGGGCCGTTCCTGATCTCGGCTCCATACACAGCGTCTCAAACCTCGCAACCTTCCCCATTGTCGAAATCAATCACTCTTAAGTATCAACCAATTAACTAGAACCGAGAATATGTTTATAATTAACTCTGCAGTTGCACTTATCCCTTTTTTATCATCGTAATTCATGGACGGGTTGCTCGAAGCAACTGAATTTTTTTGTAAACCACTTTCAATCTATTCGAGTCTTCTTTTTACACTTTTCTGTTACGTGAGAATTACAATTTCCACTCACTTAATCGGGAGTGTATGTTGTAGGCCTGAGTGGATTTTGCTATCGATCAAAACTGTCAAGCAGACGAATTTTATCGGAATTATTGGCAAGTTGGTTCTGAGTTTGATTGTACTTAAAATGGACTTGTTGATTCTCCTTTAGTTTTCGAAGAAAGGAAAATTTGATATCAATATGCTTGGTGCTTTTGTGTGATAACGGATTTTTGTTTAGGGATTTTCCTCCTTGATAATGACCCGAAATAACAATCGGTGGGAACCGCAGAACTGCAATACTATGTATCAGGCAAGATAACCATATTGCCTTTTTGGTTGTGTCTGCCATTGCGAGTAGCTCAGCAGTTGTTGAATAAGCTGTACACGGTTGACTTTTGCTAGTCCTGGAAATGGCTCCACCGGCGAGAAAAGCATATAGCTGATGCAACCCTTACGGTCGTAAAGGTTGCCTCCGAAATCAGAGTCAGAAAAACCGCTAAGATGAAGATGAATGGTTCGTCGGAATCGGTGGCCAAATTGTTCCTTCGAGATGTCACAAGATTGTCTTCAGTACTTTCCATTGTGAATGCTTTGGTGACAATATCCTGAAATAATGTATTTTTGGTGGAGAGAGGATATACTTTTCAGCGATTTAACAAGCTGTTGTAATACTGTAAAAAGTGATTTGTTTTGAGCAGTTGGAGGTTTTTTTATATTTTAGTCACGTGCGTCGCTATTGTAGTTTGCGATGTTGCACCATAAAAGGTAGATAAACACGTTTCACAAATTAAGAAAAGTAGTAGTTGACACTTTGATTTACAGTTTATCCCATTGAAAAGAAATAGGTGAAATGCATTCGAGCGATTATCCCAATCTGTCACGTCGCTCTAGGAATTATTAACTATGGGCAGGTTTTTGCTTATATTCTCATTCTGAGGTTGGGGAATAAGGCTTGTCCAAAATATAGCATTGGCTGTATCGATGTAACAACCAGATGGATTTTAAACAGTAATCAGCAAGTGACCAATGAACTAACGCTATGAAGGATCTGACCCAGAGTCGTGAAGTGCTCTTACACCATCACCGATTCGAAACTGCGACCGAGTAAACACAAAATCGTGGTCGAGCATGAATTTCTTCGTAAGGTACAAGATCTCTAGACTCAGTCTCGAATCCCGCACTCTGTTACCCAGAACCTGTGGTTGCAACTTGCGGGCTGACAGAAATAAAATGTTTTTGCGGCAGTATTCTCGGAGGTACAAAAATTCTTGAGCAAGTCTTCTGGGAGCATTTTTACTCGCGTAACATTTCCATTTCACCTGGTTGTGAGATGATTACAAACTCCATATTAGGCACTCCAACTCAAACACATCCCTTTTAACTTCTTCACGAGTATCTAGGATAAACTGCTTGAGGCGTCGTTCACGCTGCAACAGTCTGGAATGGCACGAGGAACTGAAGAATTCTTCCTTTCGTCAAATGCGAAGAGGCCCGGGACGGACGAAAATCACCAACATCAGGGGATCACCTACTCAAACCACCGCTTCAGATCCGCGTCAGGCTGAGCAGAACTTTTCGATTTGGTTCCACTGGAGGTATTAAAGTACTTAGTCCGATACTCGGAGACGAGCTGGTCCAACTTGTCCGCGATTTCTGGTTGATTCTTCCGCCGCCTTGACTGCTCTGCCGGTGATTTATGCTGCGGTATTTCAGCTGTAGGTTTTGTCGTTTTTTCCGTTTTACGATTCTACGAAATTGGCCAGGCACATCATTCAGACACGACTGACATTTATGTCACATTTTCGACGCCATCCATTCGGTGCAATTGACGAACGCAGCAAATGAAGATTACGAACTTCAGCAACGGTTTCTAAATTTTTCAATAAAAGAGAAGAAAAACGACTCTACAAGTGTATATCGGACGAAATACCTGAGGTGATTTTTCAGGTGTTACTCGAGGCTTCTTGTTTGCTTGCACTTTCTCTGGACTTGGTTTAGCACTTAGAGATTGATCGCTGCTGCTTTGCTTGCTCTTGTTCTTGCCCAAGAACTCCTGATTACCTGCACCAACCTCAAATTTCTGTCGTTTCCTATCATGGGGTTTTTGAAGCTTCTTTCCTTTCATGGTGATTTTGGAATCTGTGACCAACTCCTCGGAGGCCGCATTTTTCGTATCCTGACCAGCTTCCTTCTTTTTGTTCTTCTTTTCGCGTTTTCTCTTAACACGTCGATCACTATCATCCACTTCATTGCCGTCATCAGCGGAGTTACCAACACCAGCCGTCCGTTTCCCGAACGATTCTTGATCTTTCTTTGAGTCGAACTTTTTACCCTTGCTCGATCCATCCCCTGGCCTGGCAGTGGCAGCATTCCTTGCTTGTCTACCTTTAGCCAGTGCTTCCCGGGTAGCTCTCAGTTTTAATTTCTGAGAGTTTTCAATTGCAAATTGAATAATTGGACGGTGCTCGGATCCAAATGTTTCTGAAAGGTAAGTCATCAAAGTAAAATAATGAGAATTATTTCTACTCAATGGTTACGCATATCGTATATTAATAAGGTAATAACACAAAATATTCTCATCCGTGTTAAAAATCTCACAGCTCGTTCGATACTTCAATCGATTTACAAATAAAGAATTTAACCACAATGATACGACCACAATGAGTGGACATCCTGTGTTCACACTCTTTGACAGATGTATAACCCTTAACAGACCTGGATTGTTATTAAGAACTCGCAGGGCCACAAGTGCGTGCTGATGTTCGGTGAATTCCACAAAAGCAGCTCCCCGTGACTTCCCACTACTACCTGGCACTCCTTTCACTTCATCCCGTAAAATTTTCACCTTCAAAACCAGGTTTTCAGATTCAGTCAAAACACGTTCCGCATTACATATAAAACAATTTGAGGCAACGTAGTTAGTACATGCGGAATCGCAATCAGAACATAAAATCTTAATTGTATTTCACATTCAATGTTCTAGACAAGAAAACAGCTCAAGGCTGAGACCCATTGAGTAGAGTAACTTCGGGAAGGAAAAGTGAAGAACCTGCTTAAGTGCAGGGTTTTGCTTAGATGCTTTGGATTTTACAGCTTGAATGAACAACTGCTTGAGTTCCTTCTCAGTCATATCTTTAGGAATATTGTGCACAGCAAGTCGAGTAGTAGAAACATGGAAATTTGGACTCCGCAACTTCGTGGCTTTCTCATGCTCAACTCTGACAAAGCACCAACATCAATCCGATAGCCTCATTAATCTGTGATCAGAGCTAACAAAACACCTCTACGGAATATGTTCCTGCAAGGAAAAACCGATTAATAGATCCTACTCGTTTAGATTCTAAAACAAATATGTATTACTTACTGTTTGCGTTTCATAAGATCACCCTTGGATAAACCTTGTGCTGCCGGTGTACCTTCCTCTACTACGCCTTCCTGGGATCCAAAGAAACCAGACATTGGAAGAATACCAACACTTCAATAAGAGGAATTCAGCGACATCAACACAACACCCAAACACACTAACCGCAAAAAGATCGAGTGATGTCTTGCTCCTCGAAGATTAGACCAGGTTCTACGATTTGAATCACTGAACCCACCGTAGAAGACATATAATTAATAAGATCTAACCCTTCACAACGAAGTATTTAGAACATAGTGAAGACTTACCTTGGCAAGTTTTAAGTGCCTTCTATCATGATCATCTTGTTCCTTCGATAATTCCCTGGCTACTTGCTTGGCTTTATCACGATCCAGAGCCAAATTCATGATTATATTCCGACCTCCAACAACAAGTCCACCATCTGCCTCAGTCCTACTTGCAGCTGCTATTGCTTCTTGAGCACCTTCAGCAGTAACAAACTCCACAAAAGCAGTTCCTTTAGGTCTCCTGAACATGGACAAATGAAATATAACACGATAAAACGAGGTCACTTATAAATATCGGCTCTGATAAGTGATATCAGGCTGTTCATAGAATGGAACAGAATAATGAAATTAACTTAGAAAATGTTGAGCTAGGATGTACTAATCCAGAAGAAGGGAAACATCTTACTTAGTTATCGGATGAAGCACCAGCCGAAACGCTTTGACCTCACCAAAGTCAGAAAATTGACGACGAAGGTCCTGCACATTTGCCTCCAGGGGCAGATTTCTGACAAAAACTGTCCTACTCAAGCCGTCGTCCTGTGAAGCTGCAAGTTCAACTTTTTTCGCATTCTTAACAGTGTCCGCTACTTTAGGCGTTTTAGTCTCCTTAACTGCAGGCTTAGTTTCCTTCGCTGAAGACTTTTGTTTAGCTGTTTGCTTACCCCCAATCTCAAGGCTATCAGTCAGCTGTACATTGTCCTGCTCTTTTGTCTTGCTAGAGGCTGTCACTTTCTTGAGTATTCTTTTTGCCAAGTCTTTCTCTTCTGAGAAATCAATCACTTGTTCTTTGTCCTTTTCAGATTCTTCACCCTCGTCATCATCTTCGTCATCTACATCTTCCTCATCACTACTTTCTATATCGATGTCTACTTTGGGACTCGATTGCTTCAGATTACTGCTATCAACCTTCATTTTCTTTGTGACCTTGGGTGAGTGCTTAACATCTTCTTCAGAACCACTTCCATCTTCATCTTCACTATCCTCGTCGTTTCCATCTTCACTTCCTTCATCACTTTCATCCTCACTAGCAGTTTCATCAACATCGTCTTCAGTTGCTTCTGTCAAGCCAGAATACAAATGAGATTTGAGAGATTATGAGATCATAATGTCGTAATTGATTAAAACCCCTGCACCCGATAGTTCTCGATATTGTACACAAATGAATACCTGGAACAGAAGTTTTAGATGCAGCAGTTTCGTACTCCTTTTTAGCCACTGCCCAATCCACTGCAATAGGCCTCTTGCTGACTAGTGTCCCATTCACAGTTTGAATCGCCTATAGTTCCACTTCACAGTGATTAGATGTATACTACATCGGGCTTCCTTTACAAATACAAGGTTGGCAAATATTGGGACATCGAAAAGAAAGAAATGCTGTGAAGTAGAGAAGGACTACACTGGACTTCCAACAAAGTTGTGCAAGAAAACTAACATACCTTCTCTGCGTCAGCCTTGCAGGTGAAACCAACAAAAGCAAATCCTTTCGACCTGACAAAAGTGCCACCAAAAATCGGTTAGACAATACTTCAGAAATGCACGGATACTTTATGTAAGTGCATAACTTGAACAAGCAGTCATAATTACAGATATTATTACAATAAACTTAATTCTCCTGTTGAAGTGCAATCCTCCAAACTAGAAACAAAAGGGAGCAGAAATATACGAGTTGTCAGGTTTCCTCGGTATGGTGACCTCCCAAACAAACCCTAACGGAGAGAATAGCTGACGCAAAGTTTGTTCTTTCAGCTGCAAAAACAGAGTTCGAAACTTAGAATTTAACATGTCAACAGCCGCCACTACATGTACATCTATTACCCATAAAGTGAATGATTACCATGAAGGGAAGATTCCGAACAATGAGCCGCCATTTTTTCAACTTCGCGCCCTGCAGCACAGACATAATTGCAACAAAGATTATTAATATCTACTACTAAAACAAACATATAGAAACAACAGCCTTGAAAAAATATCTAAATCACTCCACGGGTCATTCTAAGAGAAATCTAACCGGAATCGGCTTTGACAGCTCTCGATTCACGAGCTGCTCCAGAATTAAGGGGGGCTTTTGGGTCTGGCATTTCAATCATGGACAAAAGCTCTATTCATGACCCTAGGTCCTTATCAACTCTTTTCTCTTGATTTGTACCCAGTGCAACGACAATAGTGACAATCGATGATAACAAGACTGCAAAAAATACTCGACAGAACTAAGAAAAAAATGTTCAGGCCTGCAGAAAATCGCTCACAACCACGACATATGCAGGTACCCGTCGACACTAAGTGCATTTCATCTACGAATTCCTCTTGTTAAGCTTAATCAGGTGCACCAGGGGTCTAGTACACAACCTTAACACAACTAAACTTGCACCCCTCTTATCACCTCAGAGGAGAAACATGAACAGGCTTAACAGCGACCACAAAACCCAGCTAAATCTTCCAGCACACCAACTCCTCAATACTAGAACAAAGATTAGATACTTTCTTTTACACTGAAAAGATTCACCAACACAAAAAAACAAGCTGAAACTTATCTAAAGCACGCACCTCTCCACCGAGTTGACGAGCCCAAATAGCACCTCCTCCTCCTACATTCTGCTTGTGAAGCGCGGTTACAGCTTGATGAGCTACTTTCACAGAGGTGTACCGAACTTCTACAGCCTCTTGTTTGCATCCATCCTTAGCCAAACCTGTCGGGAGCATGATATACATAAATATACTGTTCGTTTCACCCTGCAACTAACACGACTCATCACCTTCAGACCCTGAAAATATCAATGCGGGCACGAGGGCAGACATACTGGTAACACTCAATAGAGAATGATGAAACAAACAAAATTACCCCGACTGATAAGCTCGGCTTCTGGAACAGGATGACGCACATCCTCCACTTTGCCCAATCTTTTGGCTTTTGCAATGGCGGCTTGAACCATTTTGGGGTTTTCCAGACACCCTATGATAACTGTCCGTGCAGTTCTGCGTAAACAAACGAGGCGGTTTTAAATTGAAACTAAAACCCTACACCCTACAAAAGACAAATTACGTTCTTTAAAGAAACAAAGAATTTCAATGCTTTCATGATACCTACTCAGAGAATAGAATTCATAGCAAACGTGTTGTCTGACTTAAGCCATAAAAATGAGGTACTACTAATCTTCGAACTGGTTCTCACCACTACCAAGAAAAAGACATTCATGTTCGAGTGATTCATTCAACACGGTTGTCATGAGCATAAAGGTAATGGCCATTTAAGCACGCCGTAAATACGCAGTAACGCACAACCGACACACAACTTTAATGTTGAGACAATTGGCTCACCTCTGACTTTCAGATGCCTTCCCCTCTTCTCGTGGACGCTTCTTCGAGTCTGGCTTGACTGCTGGTTGCCTGCCTGTCAGCCAATGAACAATTTTTTGGTCACTCTCTCTGCAAAATGATCATCGGCACCAAAAGGTAAACGTTTGATATAATCCTTCTAGGCATGATATTACAAATATGCATAGAGCACACCTATAAGTCAAATGGAAAGAAAGCACTAAGATACCATTTGTGAGTTTCGATTCGACCGCCGTCCCATGAGATAGCTCCAGGTCTTCACCGTCGGAAACTTTTCGCTTCTTTATTCCCTTGTCCTCGGGTGCCATAGCAGCCATTGAATCCCCCTCAACATTTTTTTCATCTTCTTTAGTTCCCTCTGCATCTGTTCAAACCAACGCAGATGGAATACTTATGACAAGAGGCGAAAGGACGAACCAAACTGCGATTCAACCTTCGATGAAATCATGCAACGAAACGAAGTGAACTTTGCTCTAGCCTGCAGGTGTTCGAGCAAACGTAGCCAATACATTTCTAGTTAGTATCAGGGATTGTTAAAAACAATCGAGAAAGTAAACGATTAAACGAGGAAGACGGGGGGGGGGGGGAGGCAACTTGTAAATAACAAAATGAAGTGCTGCACCTTTGCGTTTGCCTTTAGGATGCCTTGCGTCCAGCGGAGCCCGGCGCTTTGCAAGCTCCACTTTAATCTTTCGTCCTTGCAGGGCGGCACCATTTTTGGTTTCAACAGCTCGAATAGCATCCTCTTTGACCGCGCTGTACATTCCAGAGAGTTCAAGCAAAGTAGGCATCATTTACAGATACTGCATTCCAGCAATGTCCTACTTATCAAGCTTCCTTAAACATAAGATCATCACGAAGACACAAAAACATTCAAAAAGTTTCCGAAGTTTTGAATCTGAGCACTGAGACACTTACAAATTCACGAATCCAAATCCGCGGTGCCGTTCAGAGCCTACATAATTCAAAAACCGGCGAATAAAATTAGCCTGGTGCGAAATAACCAGGTCCCGAGAAAAATTGAATGAATGACGAATTAAAGGCTTAATGCAATTCCATATCACAAATTACTTCATGAGCACTCGGGCAAACCGAAAGAAATGACAGATTATAATGTCAACACTAAACTCTCCCACAAATATATAGTATCGCACCTTTCTGTTTCACCGTGAAGCAGTTCCGAACAGGACCTACTTCACCGAAATAAGCCTCGAGCTGCGATCCAAATCAGACAGAACTGTCAACGTCAAAATACTCCACCAAAACCAAGGGAACCAAGCCCACTCTGGACTTAGTATCACAACTCTGCGAACATTGAATGAGAAAGTTTAGAAGCTGACTGACCTGCGCATCAGTGAGAGTGTATGGCAAGCTGCGCACGAAGACAGTGCGCTCGTCAATATCGTCACCGCTGCCAGTGCTACCAAAGGGAGCCGCTGTTCCAGCAGCCTTGGTACCTTCCTCCATGGTCGCCATGTCTGAAATTTCCCTGCGATGCAAGGTTTCAAAGCTCTCACGGGCTTTGTAAGATTAGGGTTTCAATAGGGTTTAAGCTCCATGCAGACGACGATGGGAGGACTCTTTTGGATGAAAAAAATCCTGATGGATGACACCCTTGTCCTCGTTGAGGGGTGTCAATGCATTCTTCTCCTCCCCCCCTTCCCTTCATTACACACACACACACACATATATATATATATACATATATATATATATTGAAAAACTGAAAATTAAATTACACCGGTTCATTGACCAGGTTTAGGGTTTAGGGTGAAAACCTTGGAAGAGACTTTGGTGGCAAAGCAGACATTCATACAAAGTAAGAAAATCATGTTGACCTTTTGGAACATTAGCTCAATCCGCAAGTAGACTATTATAATTTGGTGATAGAGTGGACATTATTTTTGAAATAATCATGTCTTTAAGAAGTTCATGATGTAAAACTTTTAATAACAAAACCATATTCTATGTGTTATTGATATGAGAATGAATATCATCATTTTGGGACATTTATAATCATAAAATTTTCCTTGTAACTAAAAGATGCTCTCAGTAGTTTGTTGAAGAAATATTATACATAGCTTGCCCACATATTTTCTAAAGTTATACAATTAATTAATATTTGTGATGATAAGTGATAATATACTGGAAGTAATAAGCATGCAAGCATCCATGTATTTTTGATCCCAAGAATCGATTTAATCTTAAATTTTGAAATTGTTTTGGGTAGCAGGCATTGCAATTTGATGTTTTTAGCTAATCACTGCTATGTAAACCATTTAAGCATGGAATATAAATGGACTTGGAGTGTCAAAAAAGAAGAGAGCGGCATTGGAAAGAAAATGTTCTTTACCAAAATCTCACAAATATAATTTTGGAATTATATAGAGATCCCAATAATTCATGTCTCCAATAAAATATAGTTTAGTATATGGACAACTTCAAAGCTATGGATGTACAAATAACTAAGGGTGGGTGGGTACGGAGCAAAATCAAATGGTAGCAAGTCAAAGATAGGTGCTCATGGAAATTTTTTAATGTTAATCAAGAATAGTTGTTAAGCTCCTAAATTTCAAAATTGGTAAACCATTTAGGGCAATTATATATCAACCAGGCTGCTATGTCCAAGATCTGTATAGATTATTATCACAAACTATAAAGAACAAGCCAGAATTCGAAAGTAGTTAGGGAGGTGTAAGATTAGGCCTACAAAGTATTAGAAATGATACTAGATATAGAGACATTAAATTTACTAAAAGACCCATTAACGCTCTAAGAAACAATTTGTGCACTTTCAATACTAGCTAAATTTAAGTATATGGACCCAGATGTAGTGATAGAGTTCTATCTCACTTTTTGAGACATAATTGGCTAACAATACATAGAAATGATTAATACTAGCCTTATTTTAGGGTTCCTCCTTCCTTGAGTTACTACTAGTACAATAACCCTTCTTCATAAAGGTGGAGATTGTTGCTTCTTAACCAATTGGAATTCCATTACACTTCTGAACTTAGACTACAAAATATATGCCATGACATTGCACCTATCTTTATGATCAATACTTATAAATATTATTAGCATAGATCAATTGATATTCTTATTTATGGAATTCATATGGACAATTTTTTACTTACCTAAGAAACTGTCAAGGACAAGAACTCGATGAAAAAGCAGTTCAGACAAGTAAGCCTTCACTCAAAGAAAAGTAACAAAATATAAATAATAAGTATGTATATTGAAAGAGAAACTAGAATGGCTATTGCGAAAAGACAAGAAAACTAGAGACCCTTGAAACTAGACTAGAAGCAAGAAAGAAGTTGACAAGAGTGAAGAAGCCTTCACTCTTGTCTCTATATATATACTATCTAACTAGGGGCTACGTGGCGACGTTCTATAGGACCTCCAATATGTGTTGACTTTGTAGGATACATGCCTTGACTTACAAGGCAAGTTTTTCTACGTGTGGGCCACATAGTTAGCTTGATCTTCAAGCTAACAACATGTGTGGCACATGGCCAACTTGTTGACCACGTTTCTAATCCAAAAAGTCAATTAAAGACACCTATGAAGTCAAAGCAGCGTCTATGAAGTTTCTAGGAAGCTTCTATATTAAATATTATAGAATTAACTTATTTTTATCTACTTTTACTTACTTCTACCTATTTCTATATGTAATTATTAGCTTACATGATTATGGCCGTGACATTACCCCCCCTTCTAGAGACGAGTTCCATGAGGAGTGGTCATCATATGTTGAGGAAATCTATGATGCGACGAATTGTATTCGCCACATACTCTGATCTCTGTTCTCTTCGAAGATGATTGATAGGGCCTCTCAACCATCGATAGTGTCCCATACCAGGGTGGGAAGACCACCCAGTTATTTGATCATTGTTGAGGCCTTCATAACTTCCTTCGAATAGAATATTTGGAACACCATCAAGAGTTGTTTCTACCTCTAGCAAAATCACCAAACATCGGGACTCCCTTCCCAAATCGTGATACCAAACGCGTTGTATCTCACCATCTATTCGAGGAAGAACATGTGGTTCTTGAAGATCTTCATCTCGATTGCGTCGTCTTGAAGGTTGTGACATTCGTAATGTCTCGTCCGGCAGATCAGCAAACGAAGGTTCTTGAGTTGAATCCGCTGGTTGTTGGCTCTCTATCTAATTAGCGTCACAAATGCAAAGAAGTTACAAACAAGGATAGGAAATTGAATGTTATCTTGCCTCAGTCTTGTCTCTTTTATAAGAGAGATTTTCATCTTGGTTTTGATGGATGTCGTTGATGAAAAACTTTGACTTTAGCTGATGCATTTGCTAGATTCCTGGATGGCTCCCATATACGTTCACTAATATGATATCAGCGCCAATGAACAAGATATTCCAGCTTATTTCGGCGCCGCCTTGAGACTAATATCTCTTCCACCTCAAATTCTTCATTATTATCTACTTCTATAGGAGGCGGTGGCATTTGTCTTCTTCTTTGTATATCCACTGTCTTATATGGTTCAAGAAGAGACACGTGGAATACATGATGGATCTTCATTGACTCCAGTAGATGTAACCGATATGCAACTAGGTTGATCTGTTCAGAAACAGAAAAGGGGCCAAGCCTACGATAGTCCAACTTGTCACAAGGTCGAGTAGTCTTGATATTGCGACGAAGTAGCCATACCTTATCACCCACGTTGATTTGTGGTTGCTCCTCACGATATAGATCTGCGTTTATCTTTTGTCGTTCTTGAGCTTCCTTCAATTGTGTCTTCATTATTGCATGTAACTCTGACAACCGATTTGCCATATCTTCTGCTGCAGGATTATCAACTTTTAAAAAATCAAAAGTATCAAGTCGTGGATGATAGCCATAATTGGCAAAGAAAGGTGTTTGTTGCGTGGAAGAATGTACCATATTATTATAAGCAAACTCTGCCAATGGCAGAAGGGTTGTCCAATCATCTTGTTGGTAGTTGATAGTACACCTTAAATATTGCTCCAAGACTTGATTTACGTGCTCTGTTTGTCCATCAGTTTGAGGATGGAAAGCCGAAGATAGCTTTATGTCCACTTTTAAAATCTTGAAAAGGATCCTCCAAAATCTTGACACAAATTGAGTTCCCCTATCTGATATGATATCTTTAGGTAATCTATGATAGCGATAGATATTATCAATGAAAAGCTTAGTTGTTTCTTCACCTATGATAGATTTTGTACATGGCACAAAATGTGCCATCTTGGTGAAACGATCTACTATCACAAATATAGAATCATAAGATCTTGAGCTTGGAAGATCTGTGATGAAATCCATAGAAACAGAAGACCATGGTTGTTCTGGTATAGGTAATGGGTGAAGAAGTCCGTAAGGTCGATGACGAGGAATTTTTGATCTTGAACAAATATCACATGATTGTACAAAGTCTTTGACTGACTTCCACATTTGTGGCCACCAAAAATCTCTTGATATGAGTTCCAAAGTCTTATTATATCCAAAGTGCCTTGCTGTTGGAAAGTCATGACGTGCTTGAAGAACACGTAAACGTGCTTCTCCTTCTGGAACATATAGGCGTCCTTCAAAATATAATAGATTATTCTTGAACTCAAACTTAGAAGGATCATGAGACTTGGAAGAATTATTCTCGATATCATAAACAAGAGGGTCTGAGGACATACTGGACTGGATTTGCTTGAGAAAAGTTGAATCAACAGTCAATGTTGATTTCATTCCTTAGAGATGAAATTGCTCCGGTTTCAAGAAGACCGTTCTTTGTTGCTCAAAAGTTGCATCTCCTTCTTTTGGTGCAAAATAAGAACGTCTAGATAGGGCATCGGACAAACCTTGTTGTTTTCCTGGTCGATAAGTGATAATGAACTCGAATCTTGACAAAGACATACTCCAACGAGCTTGACGACGATTCAATACGCGTGCTGACATGAAATACTCGAGGTTCTTGTGATCTGTATATACAGTGATTGGACTAGAAGTGCCTTCTAGATAATGACGCCATTCTTGAAAGGAATCCATGATTGCAAGAAGTTCTTTATCGTGGATCTCATAATTGATCTCGGCTGTTGAGAATTTTCTTGAATGAAAAGCTATCGGATGAAGTTTGTCATCCGATCCCATTTGTGATAAAACTGCACCCAAGGCAAAATCTGATGCATCTGTTTCCATAAAAAATGCCTTGGAAAAGTCAACACGATATAAGACTGGTGCAGAGACAAACGATGTCTTTAAGGCTTCAAATGCTGCTTCCGCTTCTTGATTCCATTGGAATTTATCTTTACTACTCAAGCGTGTAAGTGGAGCTGCAACTTGTGAGAAATCTTTGATGAAGATCCGATAGTAATTGGCAAATCTCAAGAAACATTGGACATTTCTTACCGTCCTTGGAATCTTCCAATCCATGATTGTTTGGACTTTCTTAGAATCCATCATGAGACCATCATTTGAAATGATGTATCCTAAAAAGTCAACTTGAGTAGTGTGAAATACACACTTTTCCATCTTGGCGTACAATCCTGCATCTCTAAGT